AGGCGGCGGGTGCACAGGAAGGCTCGCATCTGCTCCTGGTTCAGTGAGCTGCTCTTCCTCTCCACAGTGCTGGGCCTGCCCTCCTCTTCCTCCTCCTCTTCCTCTTCCTCCTCACAGATCTGCTGCAGGGCCGGGGTGCTCTTGGTGATGGTGGTGTCAACAGCAGGGACCTTCAGCAGAGTGCCAGTGGGCTGCCGGCCACCGATGTCCCCTCCAGCGGGCAGAGGGGGCAGCCGGGAGCCCGCAGCGAGGCCACCTGGCACCTCTGTGAAGGGCAAGAGGCTGCCGGCGCTGCCCATGGGGCGGAACGTGTCTGATAAGTTGGTCCTGAGAAGGGAGGGATGGAGGTGTCAGTGCCCAGCTGGGCTTTGCAAGGGCTGTGGCGAGGAAGGGGAGGGGGAACCAGGTGGGACCCTGCACTGGGGAGCTGGGGTGGCCCAGGGGAGCATTTGGGGCATGGGGCAGCAGGGGGGCTCACCTTCCCTGCACCTCCTTGGCCAGGTTGTAGACAAGGCTGAGGGGGCGGCCCTGCTTCTCCTGCTTCTCCCGCAGCATCCTCTCCGCCAGCAGGAAATACGTGGCCGTGATGTGGTTGTAGCGGTCGGCCTCCAGCGCCCTGCGTGGGACCAAGGGAGCCATGTCAGCATGCAAGGGACGCACTCGGAGGGACCCCCCCAGAGCCCTTTGCAGGGGCTCCCACCTCAGCATCCCGCCCCATCACTCACTCCTGGATGGTGTCGCGATCGGCGATGTTCCCACATGTCATGGCCTGAAGGATGATTTCGTGCTCCTCCTCGGACACACGCTTGTGGGAAGTGAGGGGCAGGAGGCAGTGGCTGGCAGGGGACGGGTCCACCCCCTGCAGCCACGCGTGGCTCTCGATCTGCTCCAGGGAGGCTCGCTGCTTCGGGTCCCGCTGCAGCATCCTGGAGATGAGACTGCAGGGCGAGGGGTGACGCCGGAATCCCACAGCAGCCCCAGACATGGCACCTGTACCCCCCCTTTCCCACCCCAGCTCCCAGACATCCCCCAGGGATGGGGGCACCCCCCTTCGGGGGCAGTGAGTTGGGGTCTGGGGGGATCCAGGTGCTTACTCAGCGCACTGTGCCGAGACATGCGGGGGCACAGTGTAGCGGCAGTCCATGATCATGGTGAGGGTCTCGCTGTCGTTGGCCTCCTGGAATGGGGGGTGGCCACACACCAGCATGTAGAGGATGACCCCCAGGCTCCAGATGTCTGCAAGAGGTGGCAGCAGTTCCAGGTTGCACCCACCCCATGGGTGGTGGAGAGCGTCCTGATGCCGAGGACCCCAGGGGGGTCCACCCCAGCAGCCCCCAGTGCCAATCCAGCAGACACCAGTGCTCACTGGGATGCTCCTTGGAGGTTACAGCTCCCAGGTCCTGCCCCAGACACCAGGGACACCACAGCCCCGCCAGGGCAGGGAAGGACCTTCCCCATCCCCACATCCAAGCAGGTCTCAAGGGGCTTCACCCACACAGTCGAGGTCTTATCCCCTTTCCCAGCTGGCAACACAGAGGCCAGCCCCAAGCTCTGTCCCCCACCCACAGCACCATTTCATGTCATTACTCAGCTTCCCAGTTCCCAAACAGACCCCACCACGACCACCCCGGCCGGAGGGGACACCACAGCGAGGGGACAGGGTTCTCCAGCTGCCTGCCAGCCGGAGTGGGATCACTGCCCTGCCCTGGGGACAGAGACGAAGCCAGCGGCACCCTCGCCTGCTGCTCCTTGCCTGCTCCTCCTGACATAAACTCTCTGCCAAAACGCCTTTTTAGGATGCTGAGCACGCCACGGGGCTCTCCGTTAATACCTTCAGCTTCTTAAGTCAAGTGCCTGCGTTTGAAAATTTCTCATCTGCGCCGCTTTTCTCCCTTCATTTCCCTTTGCAGAGCCACCAGCTTATTTTTCTACCGTCTCCACAAGCCATCCCTATTTTCAGCTCCAGAGCTGCCTTTTCCCTGAGCCGACGCTTGGGCTTTTCCTTTAAGGGCTGGTGTTTTGTTTTGCTAAATCCTCCTGCTCCAAATCCCAGTGCAGCCGGCTCAGGTCCCTGCTTCCCTCCCACCTTCCCTCTGCCCCAGCAGAGCCCCTTGGTGCCCCCAGCCTGGCCCCCTGCACCCTGGGTTGGTCTCCCCGGCCCCCTACACCCCAACCAGGGGAGGAAGGCCGTTGGGTGCCACAGAGCGGAAGTGTTTTTCAAGGGTGGGATGGAGCAAAGGAAACTTTCGGAGCTCCTCCACCCAAACACTAGCATCCCAAGCAGGTTTCCTTCCGGCACTCAAATAACTGCGAGCACCGAGCACCAGCTCACTGGCGGCTGCACCCTTGCACAGCTCCTCCCGAGCCCCAGCAGATGCCACACCAGGCTCGCAGCCTGCTTGGGCTTTTTCCCCTCCCTGGCCCGAACCATCGCTCTGAGGGATCTCAGCAGGCACAGACACAGTCTCCGCAGGGAGGACCACCCTGTGCCAGAGTGGGGCTGAGCAGCTGAGGGACAGGATTCCTCCCTGTGGGGACAGCAGTGCCACCAGGGCATGAGTGCGCTCAGCGTAAGGGGCCAAAAGCAAGGTGGTACCCAGCTGGTAGGACCACGCTCTGGGCAAGGGATGCAAGGGAGCCACGTCCCCAGGGCGAGCGCCAGCACCCCACCACCCTTACCGACAGCTGGGGCATCGTACTCATCCCCAAGCAGGATCTCGGGCGCCGAGTAGGCCAGCGAGCCACAGCTGGTGGTGAGCATCTTGCCAGGTTGGAAGCGGTTGCTGAAGCCAAAGTCGGTAAGCTTGACCACCCCCTGCTCCTGGAAGAAGACCACGTTCTCGGGCTTGAGGTCACGGTGCACCACGTGCAGCTTGTGGCAGTAGGAGATGGCATGGACGATCTGGGCAAAGTAGTGCTTGGCCCGCGCCTCAGCCAGCCCGCCTTCGTGCCGCATGATGTGGTCGAACATGTCCCCGCCATCGCCCAGCTCCAAGATGAGGTAGAGCTTGGCGTGGGTGTCGATGACCTCGTAGAGGCGCACCACGTTGGGGTGCTGGACCAGCTTCATGCAGAGCACCTCTTGCAGGAGCTGCCCCGCCGCCTCCCCCGCCAGCTTGCTTTTGTCAATCACCTTGACGGCCACCCGCTGCCCGGTGAAGACATGCCGCGCCAGCTTCACCACCGCAAAGTGGCCCTTGCCCAGCGTGCGCTCCAGGTCGTACAGCCCCGCGATCTTCCCCTCGCCACAGCCCTGTGTCCCAGCCATGGCGGCGGCCTCAGGTGGGGATGGGCATCGGGCACTGTTGGAAGGGGAGCAGCTGAGCAACGGGGGATGGGGCACCCCCAAATACCAGGCTCCCCAGCAGCCTGGGCACTCCCAACACCCCACCTCGAGGTCCCCAGCACCCTGAGCAACCCCATACTCCCACCTCCACTCCCCAGCACCCCAGGGTATCCTGATACCCCTACCTCCAGGTGTCCAGCACCACAGCATCCTGGGCACCCCAATACCCTACCTCCAGGTCCCCAGCACCCTGGGCACCCCCATATTGCCAACCACCAGTCCCCATCACCCTGGGGTCCCCCATACCCCACCTCTCGATTCCCACGACACCAGGACCCTGGGCACCCCAACACCCTCCCTAGCACCCTGGCCACCCCCGTACCCCCACCTCCAGGTCCCCAGCACCCCGGGCACCCCCACAGCGCTAACC